TTTGAAAGCATTTTTGCGGAATTTTAAAACTCGTGAAAATTTTGTGAGAAGGAGAATCTTGAAGGATAGATAGAAGGAGAAATCAGGTAAAAATGTTATTTAATTTTCAATGCAGGAGATAGATTTTTCCAAGAATTTTCCTCGGATTTTTTTACTAACACTCAAATGAATTTCGAAAGATAGGCGGAGAAATTAAATTTCCTGAGCACAAGGTCAATTTCTGGAAGAATGTTCGTAGGATTTTCTACGTCCAAAATTTCGCGAGACGAAAAAGACCTGCAAGAGACGGAGAAATAATTCATGGTTCAAGCGTAACAATCTTCACGAGTTACCAGTCCCGTTTCTCACTCCCTTCCAAGCAACACGATCAATTCTCCATTATAGAAGTTGGACAGGAGCCTCGATCGAACTTTTACCAGACGTTCATCCACCGAACTATATCATTAACGCCTATACCGTGGCCCCACGAAACTTCTCCGTTCTCAAGAATTTGTCCCTGACTTCCACCCTACAATTACACCCCTTCCGCGTGATTATTCGATATCGTCAGCCGTTAAATACCTTCGGAAGCCAGTTGCCTCGTTAGAACAGCGGGAAATAACGTGCAGACAACATCTCGATATTAACGAGCCTCTTTCGTTCGAGGCATAAACGAAAACGAGCCACTCTGGGCTTGTTTCAACCTTGTTGAATTAAATTATATTTTCGCCGGGTTATCTTCTCGAAGTTAATCTCTCTGTCTCTGGTTATCTCGATAGAACGTGGGTGCTTTTGGACTTTTAACGGGTTTCCCTGTTTTAAAAAACGTCAGGATTGTAATCAACGCAGATTTACGTTTCTCACTGAGCGTTTATGCGTTCTAATTGGTGTAAGGAGAAAGATACAGACGGGTTAAGCTCATAACCGACGGTATCTGTGTTTGAACAGTGATTTATCTCTGCTTTGATCGCTTCTTCCTCGTGCTATTAAGTTTCGACGTGTTTTTTTTTGAGAATTTTTTTTAGGAATTTCATGATGTTTTGCGATTGTTGAATTATACTTGTCTGTAGGGATATTTTATGGTTGAAAGGAAGTTACCACATCGTTCTTTTCAGTAATTCCGTCTTAACGATGCAAATGTTTGCTGTGATTTTAGTGGAACGAGAAAAGCGGTAGCAAATCGGTAATTTAATTAACTATTATTAGTGGTGATTATGGCGTGTGTGTATTACAGACACTTGGGAGAAGTGTCGAAGCCTCGCTTCAACCGCATGCTTGCGAAATTATGCGCGTTAGAAATTCAGAGGAGATTAAATAACAGCTCGTTGCGATTATTGCAAATTACATTGTAACTCTCGTTAGCCGAACGATCAAAGATAATCGCGGATGCTAATCGTTATAAATCGTGTACTCTTCACCTTCTCTCGTTACGCGAGTCGTAAAATCTTTCGGGATTATGCTCGATTATTGAAAAATCTAAATTGAATTCTCGTTCGACGAATTTTCAAAGAAAAATTCTTATTTTTTGGAAGAAGATTTAAAACTTCAGTATTCTCCCTAATTCTCCCTTGCAACTTCAGAATTTTAACCCAAAAAAATCTCTAATTCCATTCAGTTGAATAAAAGAAATCTAATATACGAAAAATCATAAAAAAATCTTCACAAATTGAATCCTTTTTCTATGAATTTTCAAAGAAAAATTCTTCCTATCTGGAAGAAAATTTAGAATTCTATTTCCAAAAGAAACATATTCTCCTTCACAGCTTCAGAATTTTTACCCAAAAAAATCGCGAATTCTTTTCGAAAAAAATCTTCGCAAATTGAATTCTTTTTCTATGAATTTTCAAAGAAAAATTCTTCCTATCTGGAAGAAAATTGAGAACTCTGGTCCCAGAAGAGACACAACTCTCCCTCAGCTTCAGAATTCTAACGAAAAAAAATCTCCAATTCGATTCACTTGAATAAAATCTTCAATGAAGGTTTTCTATCCACGACTTCGATATTCGAAATTCTGAAAAAGCTATTAAACTCATGTTTCCACAGCAAATCTTCTCCAGAATCCCCTTTCCAACCCCAAACCAACAAACATTCCCCATCTCTTCCCAGCGTCCTTCCTACCAAAATTCCAAATTTCGCCAAAAAGTCACGAACTTGACCGCGAACCAACAAGCAAGGATCATTGATCTCTCGAATTTCCATGGTGCGACGAAAAGGTGCTCGACCTTGTCGTCCACTCGGCTGACCTCGTAACACCTGTTACACCTCGCGAAGTGGTTCAGCCGAGGTTACGCGTAAACGAGTTTAAGTCACGAGGCCGACGAAATCACTTTCACTGGTACCCCCGTCTCGCAGCTCTCTAAGTTGATACCAAGGCTGACTCTTCTTCGGGTGAAACCGGTATTCCCTTCCTTTCCCTCGTTCGAACAGCGAAACAAAAAAAAAAAAACCGAATCGAACGATCGCTAGCCCAGGATTTGTCGTTAACGAAGGACGAGAGGGAATTTTTATTCATCGGTGTAACTTCCAGCGGAGGGAGGAAAATCCCTGAGACGTAATCCCGGAAGAGGAAACCCCCTCGAGCTTCCATTCGCGCGAGGATTACCGCTCGATGTGATTTATGTGGTAAATCGAACCGGTATTTTCCTCGAAAATATTACCGTGCCGAAGCTTGCAGGATTTTTCGAGGGTGGTTTGTTTGCTCTTTTTCGCAGCTAACTGGCTATTTTTCTTTCTCACTTGGAACTAGAAAAATGGCAGATGTTAAAAGGAAATACAGGTAACTTACCTGTAACTCTTTGGTTTCTATTTTTTTCTACACTTTATTTACAAGATGTTAGTGAAACTTTTGTACAACACAAGTGTCGTGTAATCTGCCAATTATCAAGAGTTTAGCTGGTAAGGAAAGTTAACGTACGAAGAAGCGTCGAAATTCTTCGTTGTGCGGAGTTTTAGGATTTCACGTGGGAGGAGAAGAAGGTTTCTCGAAGGTTAGACGATCGTTTGAATGTTACCGATCTTCCGTGTTGTGACGCAGAGGTTGACATTTGACGGAGGTCGGGGAGGAGGAGGAGGAGCTTTCGTCCTCGAGGAGTTCACGATCACGAACAGGACGGTTGGACTTTCACGGAACCGACCCAAGGATCTAGCCGGCGCAGCCTTCGATCGATTCTCGGATCTCTCTTCGAGTCATCTCTTCGGGACGATGATCGGTGTTAAATGGATAATTGACGGGGGTTGGTCGTGATTTCATTCGTTATTCCACGGTGAGGGAATGAATGGTCTTGTTAAACAGATTACTGCATCGATGCAGTAATAGTAGAGCGAGTCATTTCTTGCGCAAGTTGTATCATCGTCCGTTTTACACGTTATTTCACTTAACGCACTCTCAACCGCACGAATTTGCGCTGAATATGTAAGATTGCTGAAGAGGTTTCTAGGAAAATTTGTGAAGAAATAGTAGTGTAAAATTGAACGATGTTTCGTTATATCTGAGAACATTAGGAAACGAGGTTTCTTAAAGTTGTAGGTGAGAATGAAATATTGTTGGTGGAAAATTGACTATTTTACAATGTTAATCTGTTAAACGAGGAAGACGAGTTAACTCGTTACCGATTCACCAATAGTATGCTTATCGAGCGATTACTCGTTCTTAATTGCGCTGTTATGCTTGTATCAACGCTAAAATAACCAGTTAGGTAAAAATGACCTATTAGCAACTTTCCAAAGAAGTGAATGTTTGTAACTTTCCGACTTTGTTCTCTGTATTTATATTTCCCTTTGTATCGATACGAATCTAATTTGTTAATCACGTGTTAGTTACATAAAAATTCACTTTTGGAAAGTTGCTAATGAGTCACTTTGACCCGGGCAGTCTTTCTAGCGTTGAACGCGAAGTGCATCGCATTCACGTTTAGCCATAATTCATACTCGTTTTTAATTACGAACTAGAATAATTCAATTTCTGTTTGAGAGGTGAACTTAGTTAACAAGTTAAATCTTTTACATGACTCACTCTGCTACAGTTCCATGAATATCGAAACCAATGAGCGACACAGCGAATGAAACCTGACGAACTATGAATATCCTCCTCAGATATCATAATTCGTAAAGGAGATCTTCGTGCAGAAAATAAAAATTGAAAAAAAAAGAAACGCGTTCGAGTAAACGATAGGGGATATAGGGGCTGGGTGAATGGACGTGAGTGACAACAAATAAATAGTGTTTTATTCACAAGTTAGGTGCACAGGGACGGCGACAAGTGCTCGGGGTTAGTGTCACCCCCAAGAAATAATTACTGGTCCGCGCGGTGGGTCTTTGGTGGAGATGTGAGTTTATGGAGCAGGAATCGGTGTGTTCCTTTCTCTGCTTCCAGCTTCACGGAAGCGTTCTCTTTTTTCCACCTTAGAATCCGATCGACGATTTACCTTGGTTGGGTGGCACGAATCCGTATCCGCTCGCGCCCACTATCACTCCGCTGCTGTCCGCGCTGTTCGGCGGAGGACCCGGAGGGAACAACACTGGACCTGGATGAGAAATTAGAGTATTTTTTAAAGCACTTTTAAGAATTATTCTCTCACGATTTTCTCGTGAATTTGTGAAAATTTAGAATAGGGCAAAATTATTCTGTGACGACTCTCTCGCGAATTTGTGGAAGTTGAAGAATAGAGATGGTTAGAAGTTACTCGTGAATATTCATCTCAAGAAGTCAATTTTAGAAATTAATTTAGAGTTGGACAAAATTATTTTGCGACGATTCTCTTTGAAATTTGTGGAAATTAATGAATAGAGATGGTTAGAGGTTACTTGTGAATATTCATTTTCAAAAATTAATGCAAACTAGACTTTAGATCAGGGAAAAATAATTTTGCGACGATTCTCTCGCGAATTTGTGATAATTGAAGAATAGAGATTGTTAGAGGTTACTTGTGAATGATCATTTTCAGAAGTAAATTTTAGAAATTAATTTAGAGTAGGGCAAAATTCCTCTGTGACGATTCTCTTGGAAATTTATAAAAATTGAAGAATAGGGATTGTTAGAAGTTACTTGTGAATATTCATTTTTCAGAAATTAATTCAGAATAGACTTTAGAGTAGGGAAAAATAATTTTGCGACGATTCTCTCCTGAATTTGTAAAAAGTGAATAACAGAGATTGTTAGAAGTTACTCGTGAATATTCATCTTAACAAGCAAATCTCAGAAATTAATTTAGAGTAGATTAAGATCAACCTGAAGATCTGAAGTTACCGCAAGAGCAGTTTAGAAAATCTCGCGACGTGAATGTTTAAATTGCTGAAATGATCGTACATCACTTTGAAATTTGAAATTACCATAAGTGCAGCATAATTCACGTTGCTTTTAATATTACTTGGAAAGGATAAATTTGTAACCGTACTCCTTAGGCAAGCCGTGAGTCGCCTGCCGCGCGAAACCTTACACGTCATTCATCAAACCGACCATTAAACCCTTTCGTCATCCTGCATTTTCCATGTCCATCGACCCAATTCCACAGGAATTCCAATCAGAACCCACTCCTTCCCTATTCCCACGAGAGTGTTTTGCATTAGAAAAATCATACACCGCGTTACCAAGAGGGAGCTCGTTAAGTCCACAGTTGGCGATTATGCAGTCGCTCTATTCCCTGGACAGGTAATGTATCAATAAAATTACACGTTTCTCCGTTTCTAGCAACCTCAATGACCTGTCCAGATCGTGATAAAACATCGTGATTCTTATCGAACGCGAGTTAGTAGATCGAAGATCGGCGAATCGTTCCGGGATTACGAAATTATTTACGCAATCCGCGGTCTGGCCTTCACGGTCGTTCGCTTTCGCTTTAGTTCGACGCTTGGTTTCGTTTCTTCGGGGATTCAGTTTTCTTCGATTGCTCGATATATAGGACAGAGAAGTGAATCACACGTTTCGCGATGTCTCGAGAGATTTACACTTTTTGCGACCTCTTTAAAAAAAAAAAAAGAACAGCGAAGCTAAAAGAATTTACGAAGTGTCAACTTCAGACTTGTAGTTCTAATAAATTATTCCGTAGATTTGATTATTCACAAGCTCGGCAATTTTCTCGGCGCATTCTCAAGGAAATCCAATGGAAATTTCTTCACTCCAGGAAGTCATTTCGAACCGCAGGCCATAATTAATCGATGTCTCCGCAGGATATCAGATTCTACAAATATACACACTCCCGGGCGATTCTTATTGATCAACCGTAGACCATTACGAAACGAAACGATTCACAGTAGCGAACTGCCGATCAATTGTTCCGGTTAATTAAGAAAGCCTAACTGCCCGATCGAATCGAACCATTGATCTCGCAAACGTAGCTCTCAGCCGTATTATAAATATGAAAACTACACTCGTAAACGAAACGTAAATGCCGATTCTGTTTTAAATAGGGAAATACGTTATCTAACATCCAGTTCCAACACAACCCCAGCCAAGCCACTTTCCCAACGTTTATTCACCGTAGGTGAGTCTGAACTTGGCACCCATTCCTCGCGTAAACGCGTTCCACTCGATCGCAAGGATCGCGTATCCTGGTAACACGTGTATCGATCCGCGCTTGTGACACGTGATAAATGTCAGATCGGCATTGATCTGACCTTAGTCGAGCTAATAAACAATCTCGTTATCCCGATAAACGAAGTCTCTGCTCTCCTCTATCGGCGATTAAATTCAGAGAGGGAGAAAAAAGCAAAGTTCCAATTCAACAGAAGTTTCTAAAATTTATGGAGTTCCTTTTAAAGTAACTGAAACAGTTGGCCAGGTGTATTTATAGCTTAGTTGGTATCGATCAGGAATATTTACAGGCACTTTCCTTTTCCCGTACGCATTATATTAATCACTTATACCGTCGGTAGCCTAATCAAGCATCCGTAAACCTGTTCCGGTAGACGTATCCTTGGAAGTGCGCTCAATATCGATCAGATTATCCCTGACGAGGCTTGGGATCGTAATTTCTCGATTTCGCCATCGCGGAATTCGTGGATAATGGGCTCGTTTAGCAGTCACGTCGTGTCTCGATGGGAATACAGGAGGAAATTTAATTAGCCCGCGAATTTCGCGAGTTCTCGTTTGCGGAGAACGATCATACAGTGGATTTCGAGTGTCGAATTCGAATTCAAGCTGAGCTATTGTGAGCTGATCGAGGAGGAGATAACAGAGGGTTGTAACGATAAACCGAGATCGATGCGACTCACCTCTGTTCGATCGCGGATCTCTCATGACAGTGGATGGCCTCAGGTATGGACCGAATCCTGCGAACAGCTGATTGTAGTCCTGGGACGAAGCCACTGTCAGGATTGTTAACACTAAGGTCACCAGAATTATCTGAAACGAACAGTTTTTTTTTATGTTAAATTACATATTTTAACACATCGGTCGTTTTTCAACCGCTGCTGGCGGAATACGCTAATTGGCATAATTTACAGCTCTAATGTTGAACGAAGTATTAGAAATTCTTTACTTGAATTTATCATTTTTCAGTTTCGATCAATTTCACAGTATATCGTCAGAAATGTGTTAATTGACTAATCTAGAAAAAGGCTGCTCAAACCGTACAAATATGAAATATTGCCTATTAATTCTACAGACCACTTTGCACAATCCTCTATTAAACCTCTCTAAAATCGCTTAAAATTACGTTCGACAGGTGAATTAACGCATCAAGGATCACAGACGAATTATTACGCATCCTTGGTGCTGCTTTCACCCGTTTCTCAATATTCCACGTGCAAGAAAACCGCCTTTCGAAAGAATCGAAACCCTCGAACCTTTTTCATTCGATCTTAAACGTCGAACCCTTTTGCTGCACTTCCACCTTAATTTAGTACTTAATTTCACGGTTCACGCGCTTCCACCTTGAGTCAATAAACGAAATTTTAAAGCGATACGGCGAAAATAAGAAATTTCGCAGTCGAGGTTAAAAATTTCCACGTTACGCGTTCAAATCTGCCGTAGCGAAAGGGTTAATCGTCTCTGAAGGAACGTGACTTGCGTTCCTGTGCTCCAGAAAACCGGAAACCTGAGACTGTCGCGATACGGTAACGAAAAACGATCAACGAGATCGCTTCGTTAGGCGTGCCTGAAAACGCCGGTAACCTCGATCGGATGATTGACGATCGAGACGGAGAGTCGTATATACACTTCTATTCATTCCATGCGACAATTTTTACGAGCATTCGTCGGTTAACAATGAGGCAGAATTTATGGGCCAATAGGAGAATAAAATCAGCACCCGAACCGATCGTTTAGAAGCCTTTACGCTTGACGTTTCTATCCTATCGAGAGTTACAGCACTTCATTTCCATTTTCTATTTCAAAGTGGAACTTCTGACTGAAGTGTTGCCTGGTAAATTAACCGTGAAAAGATGTATGGCGTACCGCGAAAGTAAATCGCGATACGAACGCATTTTACCGAGTAAAGTTCCTTTTAAGACTTCATTTTTAATTTACCGAGTGAAGTTTCTTTCAACCCTCTGCACTCGAGCGGCTACTGAGAAGCGACGTTATTTCTTACTATTTGGTAAATAACTAAAATAAATAAAATAGAAGCGTATTATAATTAAAATGTATTTGTCAATATACATATGGTATGATTTATTTCTACGTTGGTTTTAAAAAATTTCATTCTTTTTTGGGGCAAATACTAAATATCAATTTTGAAGGTAATAGGCCATAGCGGTGTTCCATAAATTGCAAGGTATCGCTATCATTATCGTACGTAAAGTTACCGTTTGTGCGTGAAAGATGCTTCAGATTTACTTATTTACAAATGAGAAAACCATTTGAAAATTTGACGAGATGCGGAAACATATTTAACTTACCGACTTAGGTAAGTGTTCCGCCGAAGAATGTTACTCACAACAGGGTTCAGCACTTTAAAAAAGGTTGGGCTATAGTGAAAAGACCTTCGAGTGCAAAGGGTTAAGACTTCATTTTTAAACAATTTACCTATTACATAGATAACTCTTCCTTTGCTAGATTTCACAAAGTCGTTCTGTTTTAACCAAATAAATTGCACACCAAGTTTATAGAATTTTTGTTTTTAATTGAAACTCTACTTAGCTTCCGTTTTCTTCTACTGGATAACGTAGACGACCAGTTAATTGCTCTTTCGACAGAATTACACGGTTGCTGCAACAGGTTCTAGATTCTAGTTACCAGAGAGAACGATAAATATTATCGTGACGAGTTATCAATTGGCGAGCCATCGTTACGAAGCGAACGCACAATCTGGTAAACGTGAAAATCGTCGAATTGTGAAGCTTTTCGAGACGTAGGAGAAAGGTGATTCGTATCGCAGAATATCGTCTTCTTTTCGATTTTTTTTTTTCTTCTCTTCATCGAGCCTTCTGTTGCGTAAAACCTGATGAAATCGTTACGAGTCTTTATGAGCCACGCTGATCGGTGGATTCCATCGACGTTACAGACTCTGGGAACTCTAGTCGGCGGATAATTGCGCGTTCAGATCATGCTGATTGTTTAAACGAGCGTGCACGATTGTGTTCTTTCGTCTATCGGCTACGTTGTGTGTATATATATCGAAAGCAAGGTGAGCAAGCAGACACGTCACTGCAGCGCGATTTCTTTCTTGAGCTTGACACAATGTCAAGGCGATTAATTGTTGCACGAGAAAACGGTATAATTGAAGAATAATTGTAGAGCACGGGGATAATAATCCTGCGGATTGAATTACTATTCGTGGAGATAATTCCACGAGACATTCCGAAGATGTGAAAGATTCGAATCTGCGGTCTAACGTAATCGTTGGAATGTTTTTTCGCTGTTAACACACGGTCGGGATGAAGTTATGTCAGACCGGGTGTACGGTTGTCACAACTTGGAATAAGGTTGATCGAAGAGAAACTGAAAGACAGATTAATGATACGCCTTGGTGAGATCGACCGTTGATTGGCACCGGGTCTAATTAGAGATCCCGGTCTGGACGAATAAATTCACGACAGTGTAATTTCTGTCTGAATTGAAAGCTGGATAGTTTCTCGCGATACTATCGCTATTTTCCTTGAAACCTGTTTTTTCGCCTGGAAAAGAAAAAGTTCCTACCTAGGAAGCGGCCGTTTCCCAAGCACGGTCGAATTTTTGTTGTTTCGAATTTTTCCCTATGGAAATTTGTTGAAAAATGTCGAGAAACCTGGAAGTACGTATCGTTGCAACGAGTTTCTTTGGAGGTAGTTTATTGGGTGGGAAAGCAAGGTCGAGGTAGCACAGATCGAGAACGCAAGGACGTGTTCGATTATCGATCGGGACCGTTCGATCAATTACTCAGTTTCGCTTGTAAAATCGAACACGTAATTCTCGAAGGATAATTTCATCCCTGTTACGAGATGAAATTCCTGAATAAATTTCAATTAAGCCGCTTTGTATTCAAGATCAGACGCGCGAACGGCATTGGAGGAATTCCTGAAACGTGGAAAAACGAGCAATTCCACCGGAGAGCGATTCCTTTGGAAAAGGAGGAGTAGCGTAGTTGGACGAGCGCGCGTGTTCGATTGTGGGTACACACGGAGGCACGAGGTCGCCCACAAACCACGGCACACATGTGCGTGTACCGTGACGGCAGATCACGCCGCTGTGATATCTAAGCCAACGCGCGCGTCGATGATCACGAGGAGAACCGCACGTAGCCACCCAAGACTTGATACTCGGAGCAATTTATGCCGTCGTTACGAAATTATTTCTGGTAAACATGTTGCGCAGAATTTGTCGGGGTGAAGCGGTGCACGAAAACGCGCGAGAGAAAAGCGGAGAAACACGCCTGCTGCGTTTTCCCGCGTGTGTTGTGATTAATGGACTTTGCTCAATCAACACACAACTTGGAGGGGTTGTTGTATTGCTAGTTTTCCGAGGGAAAGTGTGCATAACTGATGCGTGAAAACACACCGTAGAGGTGGAGAACCTGGTGTATAATACCATGCAACCGACCGTACACGACACGCCAGTGGGAGGGTGTATTTTTTGGTCGAGACCGTTTAAGGAATTTTTCAAGTGAATTTGAATTTCAAATGCAGAAAGCTATACTTCTTGCCCTAAATTGCTTCTTACAATTGCTGATTTTGTACGATGAAATTATTGGAAAACTCGGGAAAGTTGCGTATCGCGAAGTTACAACATCGACTGATTTGAATAATTGAAGTAAGGAATTCGACAATTTCTTTTTTCGCTATTTTTTTTTTATGAAGTTTAACGAAGAAGAACCAATTCCTGAGATCCTTGTATTTTTTAATCGCTTCAATTTTTCTATTAATTCATTCTTTTACAAGAAGCCACGAACTTAAGAGAATCGACTTCTATACAGAAACACCGAGGAATTTCAGTCAATGTGAGGGGGGAATAATAGTGGAGGAAGAAGGAAGGAGAGAGACTGAAACACTATTCATTGAGTGAACCGAAAGTCTCAAGGAAGCGAGAAATTACAGAAGAATTTCAGATCGAACCGATAAATAAGGGAAGTTGCGAAAAATAGCGGTCACCCATCCTTCTCCAGGTCGCGACGAGTGAAGCTTGACTTGGAAGATCGAGAAGCGAACTCACTCTACGTACACCAAAAGTCCTATTACAACAAAGTACTCTATTTTTCTGCTGTATCTTTCGATCTACGTTTCTACCATTACATTACACCTCTCTGAACTGTACAATGGTACTTTAATCGAACCAAGAACAATTCCAAGAACAATTCCAACCTCCTTTCTGCTCGATAATCAATGAAACACCGTGCCGGTGCTATTTCATTATTCCTCCTTCTCTGAATCCACTACAAACCGCCCGCGGACTCTTAAGTTTCGCCTGATGCATACCTTTCGACATTCGCCAACGTTGAAAGTGGCGAACACCATTTCTTCTTGGTGTTATTCGACGGAGAAGCATCGATGTAGGATTTAACTGAGCCATCACGAAACCGACATAACGCTTATGTTCCCCGATAACGATCGACGCGCTAATTTATGCGTCTGATCAGATGACTGTGACTGACATCAGCCTGTGCATCGCTCGAATCACTTAGAAATTACAATTTCACCGAACGAAGTGACTTAACAACGTGGAGAAATTATTGCCAACAATTTCACGTCTCTTTAACACCAGGTTTACGGACATTTCTTACATACCTATCTCTACGGACACTTGTCAAATTGACGCGTGAACGAAACCGCATATTTTCTTTAAAAAGCAACTTATTTTATTGAAAAGCAACATATTATACACTATCAACTTACAAATGAATGATAATACGAACAATATATATTTGTATAAAATTTATAACAAGCATAAGTGGTAGGAGAGAAATGTAATCGATTTCTATAATTTTCCTA